TTTTTTTTTTTTCTTGTAGAGATGGGGTTTAGCCATGTTGCCCAGGCTGGTCTTGAACTCCTGTCTTCAAGCAATCCTCCTGCCTTGGCCTCCCAAAGTGCTGAGATTACAGGCATGATCCACCGTGCCCGGCCTTTTTTGTTTTTTAAAAATTAAACTCTCTTTACTTTTTCCTTAATCTGCTATAGTCAAGACTCTTCCTTTATCCAAAATAAAGTAGGACACAAATAATATACAACCCACAATGATCTCTCTCTTTGGACTTCTCTAGCATTTGTCCTCTGCGTCACGCATTTGTCTCTTACCCTACACTGCTGGGTTAATTATCTTTACAAGTACACCTCTTATTCACCTATGATAGGAGTTTTTTTAGTGGTACACTCATCTCTGTTTCCAACTATATCTAGAGTCTTACATATCATAGATGATTCATAATTTTTTAGCTGATTCACTTTTACAACTGAAAATAAAATTGTCCTACTTAAGAAGCATTTCCTATATGAGACGGTCTCATAGAAAACATGTGTATTCTTATTCTATATAATCTCTCATTATATATTTGATGATTTTGATACCTAAATCATCAAAATGCAATACTCGATAAATTTATATTTCTGTTTTGTATTTTTTGATTAGCATTTGATATTTTCACTGGTAGGCTGCAAAATGGCTAAGAGGGGTTAATTCATCTGGAATAACTCATCTAAATTTACAAAATGATTTTAAAAGGCAATGGTATTTTTTCCTCTATTTATAACATTTTCTGTAAAGGGCATGATTTTGGTTTCCTCAAATTGTAGTGAGTCCACATGTAATTAAGAATCTCTGTCACAAAGATTTCAATAAATGTGTTTATAATTAGAAATAATGATTTCCTCAAAATAAGCAATATTTTTATCTTTTTCTTCCCCTATGAGTTATTACCTAGGGCTTTCTACTCATAATTTACCCTTCTAGTTATAAATCACAACATTCCCACTGGCTTAGAGTGTATTTACATGAAAACCAGGATAATATTAACCTACTAATATGAGTCAAAATAAAATCTCCCATTAAATCCCCTCCCTTTTTACCCACCACAATTAACTGATGCTACTCACTCTAAAAAGTTATCCTTTTTCCTACACAATCTAAGTGACTGAAACCGAGTGTGTCAATTAGATTTCTTGCTGCTCTATGAAGTCTGAGCTATAGAGGTGACTATTTACAAACATTACAGCCATGACTGAGGTGTTTAGCACATTGAATAAAATAGGTAAATGTACCAGACAAGGTCAGTTGGTCAGTCCCTAAGAGACTAACTGTGCAAACTCAGCAAGATCTTCTTAGTCTACAGAGAGAAGAAGAAAATATGCAAGAAAGAGTTACAGCATAGGCCAGGCGTGGTGGCTCACACCTGTAATCCTAGTACTTTGGGAGGCCAAGGCAGGCAAATCACTTGAGCTCCCAAGTTCAAGACAGGCCTGGGCAACATGGCAAAACCCTGTCTCTACAAAAAATACAAAAATTAACCAGGCATGGTAGTGCCTGTAATGCCAACTACTTGGGAGGCTGAGGCATGAGGATCTCTTGAGCCTGGGAAGTGGAGGTTGCAGTAAACTGAGATAGCACCACTGCACTCCAGCCTGGGTGATAGAGCCAGACCTTGTCTCAAAAAAAGAGAAGGGGAGGAGGAAGGGG